ATGTCGTACGCCGCGGCGAAGAACTCGAGGTACTCGACGACGACCATGTCCTCGTACGCGCCCATGAAGTCCGGGACGTAGCCGATGATGGGCCGGATCTGGCGGTTCTGGTAGCCGATGGTGAGGCCGTTGATCATCGCCTGCCCGCGGCTCGGCTTGAGGAGGGTGGCGAGGATCTTGATGGTGGTGGTCTTGCCGGCGCCGTTGGGGCCGATGAAGCCGAAGCAATCGCCCTCGTTGATCGACAGGTTGAGGTTGTCGAGCGCGACGAGATCGCCGTAGTCCTTGCAGAGGTTGATCGTCTCGATCATCGGCATGTGCGTTCGGCTCCGGAATAGCGGGAAGCGTGGACGTGGATCATCGCACGCGGAGGGGGCTGTCGTCGAGGGGGAACATCCAGCGGACGACGGTGCGCCCGACCGTCGGGATCGGGCGGCCGTCGAGCCGGAAGGGCACGGGGCACGGGGCGTCCTCGAGCGAGCCCACGATGATGACGCAGGGCTGCGTGAGCCAGTGCGAGATGTCGAGCGTGTGCGTCGCCTGGCGGCGAACCTTGATCGGCACGCGGTCGGAGAAGTTCTGCTTGTTGTACTCCGGCTGGTAGAGCGCCCCGGCGAAGTTGATCAGCTCGTAGTCCGAATCGCTCGTGTCGTCGGTGATCCCGAGCACCTGCCCAGGCGCCCTGAACGGGACGATCTCGCGGAAGAACACCTCCGCGTTCGCGGCCGATCTGCGGATTTGCTCGGGCGTGAACAGCGCGGCGAGGTCAAGCGGCTGGCCCGGGGCCCACGCGTCGTTGAGCTCGAGCGCGAGCACGTCGGACATGAGCAGCCCGGTCTCTTCCCGTTTCCATCGCTCGTGGACGTCGTCGACGGGGCGCGGCCCGCGGACGAAGAAGATGACGGCGTCCTCGAGCGGCGCGGGCAGGTCGTGGGCCAGCACGCCCCGGAGGCTGCCGTCGCGCATCGCCTGGGGGAACGCGCCCTCGCCCTGCGGCACGGGCATGGTCCAGACCGGGGCGCCGAGCCAGTCGGCGCGGAACTGCTTGACGGTCTGCCGGGCGGGGACGGCCATGCCGTCGGGCTTGCGCGTGCCGACGGTGTACTCGCGGGCGTCCGGGAAGCTGCGCGTGGTGCCGGCGTCCTTGGGATCCGACCACGGCACGAGCGCCTGCCGCCACGGCTCGTCCGCGGACTGCGGCGCGATCGAGACGCGCTGCGTGCCGTACTCCGGGAGCATGACGCTCGCGAAGGTCCGCGCGCTCTGGACGGGCTCGCCGTAGACGTGGTCGAGGATCGTCACGTGGCGTGCCGCGACGTCCGTCGGCTTAAGGAACCGGGCACCGGCCCAGGCGATGCCCGTGAAGAGCCCGATGACGAGCACGAAGATGAGCCACGAGTGGTGCTCGAGCCCGCGCGCCTTGAGCCCGGCGTAGCTGCCGAAGCCGGCGACGATCCAGTACACGCTGAACAGCGCGAGCCCGAAGAGCACGCCCACGCTCACCGTGCCGGTGAGGTTGATCTCCTTGGAGACGATGTTGTCCGCGACCTTGCTGCCCATGCCGCGGAGCGTGTTCGCGAAACCGCCCTGCTCCACGCCGTCGATCTCGGGCCCGGTGAGGGCGTCGGCGCGCTTGCCGAGGATCCGGTTCCAGAACGCGTCCGCCCGGACGAGGTTCCGGCGGTCGATGCCGCCCGCGCCGAGGTCGAGCCCGATCACCGTGACCATGCCCGTGCCGATGAGCCGGCGCGTCACGACGGTCCCCTCGGGGCCCTCGAAGAGCGAGACCGCGTCGTTGCGTTCCGCGCCCCGGTTCTTCACGAACGAGTGCACGACGGACTGCGACGGGAGGCGGATGTTGCTGTGCTCGTCGCGCGGGCGGACGAGCAGGTCGCGGTAGGGTTCGAGCGACGCCTCCTCGTGGCGCACCACGGTCACGTCGGGCAGGAGGTCCGCGAGCGGGTTCGTCGCGCTGAACCACCCGTCCGCGACGGGCTCCATCACGATCACGAGGTGCCCGCCCCGGTTCACCCACTCCCGGATCGCTTCGGCGTGGCTCAGGCGCGGGAGGAGGTTGGGGTCGCCCTCGGTCCACACGACCGATTCGAACGGCGCGAGGCCCATCCACTCCGTGGGCAGGCCGTACTGCGCGGGGTCGATCGAGTGCACGACTCGGACGAGCTCGTGCGACGTGACGGACTCTTCCTGCTGGCGCCGCCCCCGCTCCTCGTACTGCAGCAGCCCGAAGGTCTCGCGACCGACGACAGCGAGCATCGGGTTCTCCGGCGACGCAACACGCTTGGGGAGCACACGCTCGTAGGCGATCTGCCGCCCGATGACCGCCTCCTCGCCCGAGACGTCCGCCTCGTGCACCGTGATCGTGAGCGGGTTGGAGGCCGAGAGCGACCACGGGAGCGGCAGGTAGAGCCACGTCCCCGCGGGCGCGCCGGGCGTGAGCAGGATCTCGCGCTGGTACAGGGCCGTGTCGCCGTCCGGGTCGGCGGCGTGGAGGCGGATGGAGACGTCACGCGGCTCGTCGCCCAGGTCGTTCAGGGAGAGGCGGATGCCCGCCCAGTCGCCCGGACGCACGATATCGCCGACGCCGAAGTAGTCGACCGTGATCTCGACCTCGCCGGCGGAGGGGTCGAACTGTGCGGACGCGGGCCCCGCCGGGATGAGCGCCGCGAAGGCGGCGAGGATCAGTGCCCGGAGGGCTTGGAACGCAGAAATCCGCACGGGGAGAAGTATATCCGGGTGAAGTCGGACCTTCGCGGGCCCGATCCTCAGGGTATGGAGCTCGACCTCGGCCTGTTCACCACCGTCCTGATCGCCGCGCTCGGGGTGATGTACGTCCTGTACATCGCGGCCTCGGTCACTCGCGAAGAGATGGCGATCCACGACCTGCGCGTGCGGTCGCACCGCCTCCGCAATGAATACGCGGCCAAACTCGCTCGGCTCCGCGGGGAGAACGAAGAGGAGCTCGTCGGCGTCGATATTGTCACGCCCGAAGGCGAGGTCGCGGCCGAAACGCAGCAGAGCGTCGCGGACGAAGCCCCGGCCGCCAAGGCGGCGTAACGCCCGTCAGCTCGATTTCGACGCCCCCATCGCGGCGAACTCCGACACCAGGTGCGCGTGGGTCGCGAGGCCCATGCGGTAGCAGTCCAGCTCGAATTTCTCGTTGGGCGAGTGGACGCGGTCGTCGTCGAGACCGAAGCCGATGAGCAGGGTGTCCAGGTCCAGCGCCGATTTGAGCAAACCAACGACCGGGATCGACCCGCCGGACTTGATCAGCGCCGCGTCCGTGTTCGCCGCCTTTTCGAGCGCGACCCGCGCGGCCGCGAGGTAGGGCGACTCGGTCGAGACCGTCCCCGGAAACCCGCCGTGGAGGTCGATGAACTCCCATTTGCACCCGACGGGGGTGCGCTCGTTGAGCCAGGCGCGGAACATCTCGACGACCTTTTCCGGCTCCTGGTTCGCGACGAGGCGGAAGCTGACCTTCGCGCCTGCCTTCGACGCGATGACGGTCTTCGCCCCCGCGCCTTGGTACCCGCCGTAGATGCCGTTGATGTCCGCCGTCGGCCTCGCCCACTCGCGCTCGATCGAGGTGAAACCCTCCTCGCCCCGGTCCGCCTCGGGGCCGTAGCCGATCTTCTTCAGCGCCCCGACGTGATCGACCGGCAGCTCGGCCCACGCCTTGCGCTCGTCGACCGTCAGCTCGAGCACGTCGTCGTAAAAACCGGGGATGGTCACGCGCCCCTTCTCGTCCTTGAGCTGCGCGAGCACGCCGACCAGCTCATTGATCGGGTTCGGGCAGCGCCCGCCCCAGAGGCCCGAGTGCAGGTCCTGGTCCGGGCCGTGGAGGATGACCTCGGTGTACGCGAGCCCGCGCACGCCGTAGGTGATCGCGGGGTGGCCGCGCTTGAGCATGCCGGTATCCGAGATGACGCAGATGTCCGCCTTGCGGAGCTCGGCCTCGTTCTCCTCAACGAATCTGTCGAGGTTGACGCTCCCGGATTCCTCCTCGCCCTCGATGAGGATCGAGAGTTTCATCGGCACCGAGCCGTGCGCCGCCTTCCAGGCGCGCATCGCCTCGAGGAAGCACGAGACCTGCCCCTTGTCGTCCACCGCGCCGCGGGCCACGATCCGCTCGCCCGGCGCGTCGTCGCCCGGCATCGCGGGCTTGATCACCGGCTCGAACGGCGGGCTCTCCCAGAGCTCGAGGGGGTCCGGCGGCTGGACGTCGTAGTGACCGTAGAACAGCACGTGCGGGCCGTCGTAGTCCGCGTCGCCCTCGTGCTGCGCCCAGACGATGGGGTGCCCGGGCCTTTCCTTCGTCCCCGTCTCGCGGAGCTCGGCCTTGATGCCCGCCTCGGCGAGCTGCTCGACGACCCACTCTGCCGCCTTCCGCGTCTCGGCGCGGTACGCCGGGTCGGTGGAGATGCTCGGGATCCGGAGCCAATCCATGAGCCGCTTGACCGACTCCGGCTCGTGCTTGTTGATGTGGTCGATGACGCCCTGGATATCCGACATGGCTCGCTCCTCGCGGGAAAAGTGGGGTCCGCGAGGATACCGGAACTCAGGCGGAGAAGACGACGAGCCCGACGCCGAGCAGACCCGCCGAGGCCAGGGATGCGATCAACGCCGCGATCGTGAACCGCAGGCTGGGCAGCTTCGGACGAGCGATTTCGGGGCGAAGGTCCGCGGAGTCGCACCGCGACGCGCCGCGCGAATCGACGAAGCCCTCGCGCTCGAGGTAGCTCATGGGTGGGCGTGCGTAGAGATCCTGGCGGCAGCAGGGGCAGGAGAATGTGCGTCCGGCGCGATCGCCCTGGAGCTCTCGCCCGCGGTACCCGCATCGCCAGCAGAGACGCTGAGCGATGTCCGTCAGTCGCCTTCCCTCGAGTCCTACCACAACGGCAAAAGGGTATCGCGCCCCCGTTGGGTTGCCCAGCACTTTGTGCGGAATTTGCGCTATGCTCTGAGCATGCCCACCCGACCGGAACCCACCCGTGACGAGACGTTTACCCTGTGGGCCCGTCACCTGCGTGCCGTCGCGGAATCCGGGGACGAATCCCCGCCGCCCGCCACCCACGCGCCGTTCCGGGCATGGCGAGCCGAAAAAAAGTCCGATCACGTGTTGCCCGGCGACAACGCGTCGATCGACGAGAGACTCTGGTCGCTCGCGTGCGCTGTCCGGGAACGCGGCAGCTCCCCGCCGCTCACCTGGCTCGACGATCTCGGTTCGGAAAGTGACGGCCCCATCCGGCCGCAGGGCAGCGCGAAGACCATCGAGGTCTGGACCGAGTGCGAGCTGTCGTCGATCCACGCGCTCCTCTGGCTCGGTCACCTGCTCGACCGTCCGGCTCTGGGCGCGCGGGCCGTGTCGACGTGCCTCTGGCACATCGAGCACACCCAGCCCGACAACGCGACGAACCACCCGTGGGCGGTCCACGTCTTTGTGGCGATCAGTGCGCAACTGGGCCTCGGAGACGCGCGGCTCTACGCCGAGACCCTCCTGCACAACTGCCAGGTCACCCACGCGGCGCCGGACCCGCTCAGCGCGATGATCCTCGCGGACGCGTCAGACGCGCTCGAGCAGATCGACTGGGACACGGCCATGAGGAGCTGATCCCGGACCGAGCCGTGGTGATCGCGTATCGTTGTGCTGATGAATGAACCGACGACCGACCTCACCACCCTCGGCTGGCGCGAGTACGTCGCGTTCCCCGAATGGGGGATCGAACGCGTCCGTGCCAAAATCGATACCGGCGCCAGGACCAGCGCGCTGCACGTCGGGGAGATGGAAGAGCTCGGCGACGGGCGCATCCGGTTCGAGGTCGTCGCACGGGAAAAGCCGACGCACAAGGGCAAGTGGGTCGAGGCCGAACTCGTCCGCGAATCCAACGTCAAACCCTCGAGCGGCGAGCTGCAGACGCGCCCGGTCGTCCGGACGACCATCCGCATCGGTGACATCGAGCGAGAGGTCGAGGTGAGCCTCGTCTGCCGCAAGGGCATGCGCTGCCGCATGCTCGTCGGCCGGACGGCGCTCGCCGGGCACTTCGCGGTCGATCCCTCCCGGATCAACGCGGCCGGCGACGGCCGGATCCTCAAATCGAAGAGGAGGGAGAAAGCATGAAACTGGCGATCCTGTCGCGCGCCCCGCGCTGCTATTCCACGAGGCGACTGAAGCAAGCGGCGGAGGAACGCGGGCATAAGGTCCGCGTGCTCGACACGCTGCGGTTCTCGCTCGAGCTCTCCGAGGGCGAGCCCGACCTGTACTTCAGGAACAAGCGGCTGAGCCTCTACGACGCGGTCCTGCCCCGCATCGGCTCGTCGGTCACGCACTTCGGCACCGCGATCGTCCGGCAGTTCGAGCAGCTCGACGTGTACACGCCGAACACCGCCAACGGCATCCAGAACTCGCGGGACAAGCTGCGTTCGCTCCAGATCCTCTCACGCCACGAGATCGGCATCCCGCACACGACGTACGTCCGCGACCGCAACGACGTGCTCCCCGCGATCGAGCGTGTCGGCGGCGCGCCGGTCATCATCAAGGTCCTCGAGGGCACGCAGGGCGTCGGCGTCATCCTCGCCGACACCAACAAAATCGCCGAGGCGATCGTCGAGACGCTCCACGGCGCCAAGCAGAACGTGCTCATCCAGAAGTTCGTCGCCGAGAGCAAGGGCCGGGACGTCCGCGCGATCGTCGTGGGCGACCAGGTCGTCGGCGCCATCCGGCGTGTCGCGCAGGGCCAGGAATTCCGCTCGAACGTCCACCGGGGCGGCATCGCCGAGCCGATCGAGCTCGACGAGGACTACCAGCGCGCCGCGATCCGCGCGATGCAGATCATGGGGCTCCGCATCGCGGGCGTGGACATGCTCGAATCCAGCGACGGCCCGCAGATCATGGAGGTCAACTCCTCGCCCGGGCTCGAGGGCATCGAGACGGCGACGGGGCTCGACATCGCCGGCTCGATGATCGATTTCATCGCCGACCACGTGGACTTCCCCGAGATCGACATCCGCCAGCGACTCACCGTCTCACGCGGGTACACCGTCGCCGAGCTCACCATCCCGGACGGGTCGGACTACGTCGGCAAAACCATCACCGACGCCGGGCTGCGCGACCGAGATATTTCCGTGCTCACGCTCAACCGGGGCACGACGGTCTACTCGAACCCCTCCGCCGCACGCGTCCTGGAGGCCGGCGACCGGCTGCTCTGCTACGGCAAGCTCGACTCGATGCGCGACATGGAACCCTCCAAGCCGATGCGCAAAAAGCGGAAAGTGCGCAAGCTCAGAAAAGTCCGCGAGCACGCCGACTAGCGAGAAGGCTCGCCCGCCGGCGCTTCGATCCTCGCCCACAGCGCCCGCTCGTCCGTCCGGACGGTCACGCGCAACGACCCGTCGCGCACCTGCATGACGTTCTCCTGGCGCTCGACCGTGCCGATCAGCACGCGGCTCGAGATCCAGACGCCCTCGAGCGACTCCACGCCCTCGGGCAAGCGGAGCTCGAAGTAGAGCCACGCCTCCCCAGCGTCGATCTCCTTGCCCACCCAGATCAGGCGTGGCAGGACGCCTCGTTCGCCGTTCTCATCCGCCGGCCCCGGGATCGGCTCCGGCTCGTAGGCGTCCGCGGGCTTCTCTCCCGGCGGCGCGACGAGGATGTTCGACTCGAGGTACGACGCGACCAGCTCGTCGATGTTCTCGGTGCGCTCGAGATCGACCTTCTCGCCGATCGACCGCCCCAGCGCCCGCTCCAGGTCCTCCGGCCACACCCGCAACGCGACCTCGAGCCGGTTCGTCTCCGCGTCGCGCTCGATCTCGGCGACCGAGACGTGGTACGGGTGCGCGGGCGCCACCGACGCGAAGCAGAGCATCGAGAGGAATGCAAAGAGCAGCCGCTTAGCCGCCATCGCCGCCCCCCTCCTGCTCGCGCTCGGCCTCGTTCTTCGCGTCCTGCATCGGGTTCGGCCGTTGCCGCTCGGAGTCGAAGAGCTCGAACCGGGATTTCACGATCCGGCGAGGCCAGTGGTTGTTCTCGACGTCCGCGTCCGCCGTCTCCCAGTGCGGGTCGAGCACGACGCGCTCGAGCGCCTTGTCCGTCATGATCAGCTTGGAGACCGCCAGATTGTTGCGCCGCCAGATCTCCGCGGGGATGCGCAGGATCTCGGAGGTCCCGTCCTCGAAGTGCAGCTCGAGGATCACCGGCATGACCAGCCCGCCGACGTTGGCGAGGTCGACGGCGTAGAAGTTTTTCTCGACCTCCAGCTGGGCGCGCTCGTCGTCGTCGAGCTTCTCGAGATACGCCTCGAAGTCCCGACGGTCCTTGGGGGTCACGTCGAACGGGTCGTACTCGTTGTAGAAATCGAGCAGCTCGGGGTAGCGCTCGACGCGCTTGGGGATGTCGGCGTTGCGGATCCCGCGGAGGGTCTCAGGCTTCGCTTCGTCCTCCTCGCGGTCGCGGGCCTTCTCGATCTCGGGGTCCTCCGTGTCGATGGCGAAGCGGCGGACGTTCTCGACGGAGATATCCACGTGGTCCGTCGTGTAGAACCACCCGCGCCAGAACCAGTCGAGATCGACGCCCGAAGCGTCCTCCAGCGTGCGGAAGAGGTCCGCGGGCTCGGGGCGCTTGAACCACCACCGCTGGCCGTACTCCCGGAACGCGTGGTCGAAGAGCTCTCGTCCGAGCACCGTCTCGCGCAGGATGTTCAACGCCGTCGCCGGCTTGCCGTAGGCGTTCGCGCCGAACTGCATGAGCGACTCCGAGTTCGTCATGATCGGCACCTGGTTCCGGCTCGTCATGTACGGGATCATCTTGTGCGGCTCCCCGCGACGGGAGGGGTAGTCCTCCTCCCACTCCGACTCCGCGAGGTACTGCACGAAAGTGTTGACACCCTCGTCCATCCACGTCCATTGACGCTCGTCGGAGTTGATGATCATCGGGTAGAAGAAGTGACCGACCTCGTGGATGATCACGGAGATCAGGCCGTACTTGGTCCGCTCGGTGTACGTCCCGTCGTCCTCGGGGCGCGGGCCGTTGAAGCAGATCATGGGGTACTCCATCCCGCCGGCCGGGCCGTTGACGGAGATCGCCACCGGGTAGGGGTAGCGGAAGCTGTACCGCGAGTACACGTCGAGCGTGTGCACGATCGAGTGCGTCGAGTACTTGCTCCAGAGCGGCTCGGCCTCGTTCGGGTAGAACGACATGCACATCACCGGCCCGTCCGCCCACCCCGGGCCGTCGCCCTCTTCGACGTGGTGCCCCACGGCGTCCCAGATGAACTTGCGTGAGCTGGCGAACGCGAAGTCGCGCACCATCTCCGCCTTGAACCGCCACGTCTTCGTGCCCTCGACGCCGTCCGTCTCGTTCGCCTTCGCCTCCTCGGGCGTGACGATGAACATCGGTGTCTCGGCCGTTTCGGCCTGCTTCAGGCGATCACGCTGCGTCTGAGTCAGCACCTCGCCCGGGTTCTGGAGTTGGCCCGTCGCGGTGACGATGTGGTCGCTCGGCACGGTGAGCGAGACGTCGTAGTCCCCGAACTCGAGCGTGAACTCGCCGCGACCGAGGAACTGCTTGTGCTGCCACCCGGCGTAGTCGGTGTACGCCGCCATGCGCGGGAACCAGTGCGCCATCTCGTAGATCCAGTTTCCGTCCTCCTCGAAGAATTCCCCGGCAGTGCGCGAGTTGAGGATCGCGCTGTCGTTGATGTTGAAGTGCCAGTCCACTTCGAAGGCGAAAGATTCGTCCGGCGCGAGCGG